CATATAGGTTTAGTGCAGGTTCAATGACAACATAAAGAGTAGTAGTTTATTCTTGAAACTTAAATTTTCAACACTGTGAAGTTAGTATTTGTCTTTGTCTTTTGGTTGAAGTAATGCAATTCATTCAAGTTTCAATTTGCAGAAGAAGAATAGAATCTGAAACTTAAAATCGCAACACGAATGACTATCGCAACGCAAAAATGACTATCGCAACGAGAGAATCGCAATGCGATTTTCATTTCGCATTGCGATTCTTTTGTTGCGATAGTCAAATTCGCGTTGCGATAGTCATTTTCGCGTTGCGATAGTCATTTCCGCTTTGCGAAAGTAAACTATTCTTCTTCTACAAATTGAAACTTGAATGGATTGCATTACTTCAACCAAAAGATAATAAAAAACAAATACTAACTTCACAGGGTTAAAGAATAAACAGTTTAGCAGTATTGACATCAACCGAATGAATTTACTAAGCAATCTAAGTGAAATGGTTAATCTAAGTGAAATGGTTAATCTAAGTGAAATTACGAGTAAATTTATCATCAAGTTAAATATGAAAAATATTAAACTTACCTCGTTGCGTAGAGTATGAACCTCATTCTGCAACGATGCTACCATCTCACGTAGAGCGGCTACCTCACCACGTAAAGTAGACACCTCAACACGCCATGCACCATTGTCATCGCGTAAAATACCGACCTCCTCACGCAAGACAATGACCTCATCATGTAACTCCCCTAACTCATCCCGTGGAGGTGGAGAACAGGGAGATAAATATCGTGGCTTCTTTGTCGGTCGCCTATCATGAAGTGATGGTGGAGAAGAGGCTCGATGATGTGACAGAATAGGTGATGGCTCTCGTTGTGGAGGTGTATAGTCAGGTCGATCAGGTGATGGCTCTCGAAGTGGAGGCTGCTCATCATCCGTGCCATAAAAAAACGCTTACTAGCTTGCCACCAATCAGTGACAAGCTTAGCTTCCGTGGGTGTCAGCCTCTGTAATGGATTGTTGGACTCCTAACAATATAAAAGCTCAAACAAAGTTAAACGTGTACTAGTAATAACTTGTTTATAAACATATGGTAGTATTTGTGTTAACTTACATTATTTATTGTCGTATACGGTAGTAAATCTTCCCATTGTTGCAAGGTCCGTTTCCTCTTCCAGGAAATAGCCCTAGGAATATCATTAGCAGTTTTTAATGCATAGGTCTGTATGGCGGGAAAGGCCTCAAATATCCAAATCTAAAAACAATATAATAACAAACATTAGTAATTGTTAAATAATAATTAATTATAATTTTGGAAACATTATATAAAAATTCTTACCTTAAAGGCCCAAATAAAGTCTGACAAAGTGTATTTGGAACTATCGCCACGCAAACGTTTTCGATCATCAAAGGCAGACGACAACTTATTCCATGTAGCTTTCCATAGATACGAACCCCACGGAAACAGGTTCCATGCATTTAGGTCCTCTACCAATTTAATTAGATCATTAGGAATAGGTTGTCCGGCCTCTCTGCCTAAAAAGTCGGCATGCAAAAGTATTAGAAGGCATACTTGGACAACATCGACGTCATCCATCCGAGTAAAACCATATTTCTTATTCAATAATCTCGTCAAGTCTTCCACGTGTAAATTCGGCTTCTCCATTGACAGCTCAGGAAAAACCCGGGATAACCATGATAGGCGGGTAATACGTCTAGTGTACCGACCTACATCATCGTGTCTGAAGCGTAGACCGGTGATTAAGCAAAACTCCTCCCTCCCAAAACACGTATACGCCGGTGGAAAATCAAACCATATCTCTTCATCACGACGTTGTATAGTCTCTGGTAGATCACTAGTCATGGTTTGAAGAAACAGATGGGTCAACATAGCATCTCTACCCGGATATTGTACTTTCAGCCATGGCCCGAAGCAAGTATCCTCAAATATTTTTCTTTGTGCAGGTGAAAGCTTCGACGCAATTGTTTTGGCCAGGCTTAATTTATTTCTTAAGGTCAATTGAGCCGAATAAAAGTTCTACAAAAACAATAAACATACCAAGTTAGATATACCAAAAACTACATTGCGAAGATATACCAAGAACAACAATAAACATAAAGAGTAGTAGTTTATTCTTCAAACTTAAATTTGTAACACTGTGAATTTAGTATTTGTCTTTATTTTTTTGTTGAAGTAATGCAATTCATTCAAGTTTCAATTTGCAGAAGAAGAATAGTTTCTGAAACTTAAAATCGCAACACGAAAATGACTATCGCAACACGAAAATGACTATCGCAACGCGAATTTGATTATCGCAACGCGAATTTGACTATCGCAACGCGAGAATCGCAACGTGAAATGACAATCGCAACGCGAAACTAAAATCGCATTGCGATTTTGTCGTTGTGATTTTCATTTCGTGTTGCGATTCTCGGTTTCAAATACTAAAATTGAAACTTGAATGGATTGCATTACTTCAACCAAAAGACAAAACAAAGATAAATACTAAATTCACAGGGTTTAAAGACTAAACAGTTTAGCAGTATTGGCAGCAATCGAATGAATTTAATAAGTAATCTAAATGAAATGGTTAATCTATTATTGAAATTACCAGTAAACTTATCATCAATTTCAATATGAAAAACCTAATAATAATGCAAAATTTTCAAAATAAAAATAATTAAAAAAACTAACCCTCGGTGGTTGATTTGGTTGATTTTCAATTTCTGACCGTGAATGATTGTGAGGGTGGCTCTGAGAGATGGAGATAGATGGATTTCGCCGGAGATGGGGACTGATTTCGTCGGAGATGGGGACGGATGTCGCCTTAGAGAGTGAGAGATGGAGATGTGACTGAGTTGTGATTTAGGGTTTTAGGTTATGAGTTGCGATTACGGGATATATTGTGGACGGTTCAGTGTTCCGATATATTAATATTCGTGTTTGGAATTTGAAAAAAATACGCGTTGCGATAATAATGGTGCTTTGAAAATCGTATTGCGACAGTCAGAATTGCGTTGCGATAGTCAGAATCGCATTGAGATAGTAATAATCATATTGCGATTTACATATTCGCGTTGCGATAACCATACTCGCATTGCGATTTACATATTCGCATTGCGATAGTCGGAAAATCGCAACGCGAATTTGGAAATCGCAATGCGATAGTCAGAATCGCGTTGCGAATCTGAAAACTGATTTGCGATACCGGAGATCGCGTTGCGAATTATCGATCACATTGCGATTTAGTTGGTCATTTTGGCAAATCCAAAAAAAGTTGGTTAAAATCGTATATTATAAGGCCTTTTTGGTCACTGAGGTTATTTTCTCTTTAGTAATTATTTTATAGAAAAGTTAATCCATTCATAAAATATTAAAATAATTTTATTAAAAAAATAAATGCTTAAATATTTTTTTTTATTTTTGAATAAAACTAAATTAAGTTATTTGAGTCAATTTTAATTTGTTATCATCAACTCCTTCAATACTCTAATTAATACTTTATCATCAAAATTTGTTCTATAAAAAATAATATTATGCACATATTATATAATTTTAGATGATATTTAATTTATTAGATAAATTTATAAATCTTACTAATACATATGAAAAAAATAATATTAAAACATATATGTATACTGTACATGACTAACGAGAGTCGTTTGAACCAATCAATCCCTAATATTATAAATAATTATATTTAAGTTTGAACATAAACTCAAGTAAATAAATTTAATTCAACTCGGATTAAATTTTATAAACTTGATTTAATTTTAAATGATAAAATAATATTAGTAAAATTGACTAAATAGAATTTTTTCACTTTAATCGGCTAGATCAAATAGTCACTCCTACATTTAAATATCTAAATTTTATTCTTCAAAATAAATACCTAACTTTTGATTTTATCCTCATTTCACTTTTTATATTAAAAAAATAATTGCACAAAGTTAAAAAATAAAGGCTTATATTATACTCCAAATAAGCACCTAAAGTATATATTTTTTTTATCTAAGTACCTATTGTATTTTTTGGTCAAAAGAAGTATCTAAACTTATCTTTTTAGTCAAAATAGACACCTAAAGTTGGCATGTGAAATAATAAATTGCACCAACCATTGATCTAGTGAGATGTAATATTTTTTATTAAGTTAAGATGATAACAAAATAGTATCTATTCTAAATACTTTTATCTATTTGTTAATGAACACTTAATCACTCATGCTACAGTCGTTGGTACTCGAACCTGAGACTTTTAGGAATAACAACTATTTATTTAACCAATTAATTAATATCATTCGTACAGTGATATATAGTATTAGATACCTTAAACAAAGTCTAAAAAAACCTTAAACAAGGTATAAAGTTTAAATCTTACATTTTTTAATTGAATAAACTTGATTGTACATTTTTTAATTGAATAAACTGTATTGTAAAAGTTATCATATAATGAAATTCTATAGCATCTAATAGGATTAATTGGTCAATAAATCTAATTCTTATAATTATATAAAAGTTATAATAAAATTTTAATATCTTAATTATATATAAAACCTAGACTAAAAATTGACATTATTAAATTAAATGACATCGACCCAATAGAGAATAGAACATATATATTAATAGATATAAAATTAGGGGCTTTTGATGTCAATTTAATTAAAATACCAATTAATCCCACATTTTTACATATAAACGCTGAATATTCTTTTACTTGAAATAAAGCCAACGACATTTTTATTTTATATAAATATTTAAAAAATTAAAATATATGTATCAATAAAAACAATATTATGATCGAAACAATAAAGATATCAAATCCTATAATAACGTGATGATGGAGTAAATTAAGGTAACCAAGTAAAAATGGAAAGCTAAGGAAAGATTGTCTTCCACGTGTGCCGTCATCAAGTTTTCCTCTGTTACAATAACGGATGCACTTTACCATTTGTCTGTTAGCTGTTTTGGTTTTTCATCGGTATAGAACAACGTAGAAAGCAGCTCGAGAGCTTTGGCCTTTTGGGGTGAGTTTTAAACTGGTTGATCAACATCGATGGAAGGTGATATCAACCAGAAGCTGCTTAACGGAGCCGACACGACAGAAGGAGAAGAACTGACGTTTAGAGAAAAGATATGGACAGAGTCAAAGAAGATGTGGGTTGTGGCCGCCCCTGCAATCTTCACCAGGTTTTCGACCTTTGGTGTAACTGTAATCAGTCTAGGTTTTGTTGGTCATATCGGTCCTACTGAGCTTGCTGCTTATTCCCTTTGTGTCACTGTCCTTCTAAGGTTCGGCAATGGTATTTTGGTATGTTCTTATTTCACCAATCTCTTCCTTTTCTTCGTCTCTTTTGACTTTTACTTGGTTAACTAAGAACTGGGTTCTGGCCTTTGTTGTTCGGGTTTCTTTTACCGATGAACTGAGATTTAATGGTGTATTTGATCATGTATCAACCATCAGCTTTTTTTTTTGCTCCTGTTTCTAGAAAAAATAGTTCAAGGATTTCTCTGCTAGTTTGTTTTTGTTTTTCCTGCCAGACTCTTCTTTTGGCTGGTTTCAGAGGAAGTATCATCATTTATTATTTACCCAAAGTAAAAAGTAGCCCATTGAAGTGTTCTTCCTGTACGTGCTCCCAGTAGAAATTTTGAATATTGTGGACCTTGTATGAGTTGTGGTCATCATCAATCATCTCAGTAAGAAGACATCTTCTGGCTTGGTTTTTGAAGGGCTACATGACTTAACTTTTAAATCAACCTACGATGATCAGTTGTTGGTTCCATGGCCTAGAGGTTTATTTTGATTTCCATTCAACGTCTAAAGTATTACCAAATACCAATAATAAACCCTTTTTAGTTTAATCCAGCCATGGGGTTGAACTTCTCCGTGGTGTTTGGAGAAACGTTTTCATGTATCAGATCTGCTCTGGATTTTGTTTCTCTGAATTCCCTTCTTTACTTTCAAGCTATGTTACCTTGACTCGGATCAGTGTCTAGTATGGATATACGTCTCTATACACGGAATCGTTGATATTTTCGAGTTTATTTCGATTGTGCAGTTGGGGATGGCAAGTGCATTGGAAACACTATGTGGTCAAGCTTTTGGTGCAAAACAATACCATATGCTGGGGATATACCTTCAAAGATCATGGCTGATTCTATTCTTGACTGCATGTTGTCTTCTCCCTTTATTCCTCTTCACCACCCCGATTTTCATAGCTTTAGGCCAAGATGAAAAGATTGCACATGTGTGTGATTACATTAGCCGTTGGTTCATCTTCATTGTCTTCTCTTTCATCATCTCGTTCACCTGCCAAATGTTCCTGCAAGCACAGAGCAAGAACATGATCATTGCATACTTGGCCGCTTTCTCCGTCGGGATTCATATCCTTCTTTCATGGCTTTTGACCGTGAAATTCAAGTATGGGCTCGCCGGAGCTTTGTTTTCCACCGTTTTGGCCTATTGGATACCCAATATAGGGCAGATTTTGTTTGTTACTTGTGGTGGGTGCAAAGAGACTTGGAAGGGTTTCTCAATGTTGGCTTTTAAGGATCTTTTCCCTTTAGTAAAGCTGTCCTTGTCATCTGGTGTTATGCTTTGGTAAGGTTTTTCAGTCCCTTTATGAGTCCCTAGACAGAACTTGTAGATAAAGATTGCTTACTCGAACATGCGTATATTCGATATGGTTATGTGTTTGGAATTAGAGGTGTCCATGGATTAGGTCGAGTTTGAACTAGGTTCATATATGATAACATCATTCATATGAGCCTGTGTTCATATATGATAACATCATTCATATGAGCCTGTGTAAGCATGTTTGTACTTTTTTTCTATCTGTTATATTCGGTTCATGTACTTAAAGAGGATTTTGAAAAATCATATCCAAATTTTTTGTTTTCATGGTCAGTCTCGAACTCTGGTACAATACGATCTTGGTTCTTCTAACCGGAAACTTGAAAAATGCTCAGGTCGCCATTGATGCTCTTGCCATTTGGTAAGTCTTTCATGTTTCCCTATTGGATTCAAGGTTTCAGTCATTTTGTTGTTTTCATCCTATTAATATGTAAATACTTTCTCCTTTGTAGCCTCAACATTAATGGATGGGAAATGATGATGTCACTTGGTTTCTTGGCTGCTGCAAGGTATTATAAACTTAAACCTCGAAAAATTTACATTATATATATCAATTCGGAAGTTGAATGTTCGATACGAGTATATGATAGGGGCTATGAGCCATGTTTTTTTTTGGTCTGGATTTTGAGCGTACGAAAATAAGTAGTATGAGCTATGTTTTTTTACATTGTTTTGTTGCACAAATTGCAGTGTAAGGGTGTCAAATGAGCTTGGGAGAGGAAGTGCCAAAGGTGCCAAGTTTTCGATCATAGTGACGACTCTTACATCGCTTGCCATCGGCTGCGTGCTGTTCGTGGTGTTCTTGTGCCTCCGAGGACGTTTAGCGTACATTTTCACCACCAGTGAGGAAGTAGCAGAAGCAGTTGCTGATATATCTCCATTGTTGGCATGTTCCATTCTTCTAAACAGTGTTCAACCCGTGCTCTCCGGTAAATTCCCACCGTCGACGTAGAGGTTATATCTTTATATCGGTGTAAGATACAAGTAAAGACATTGTAGACTACATCTAACCGAGTACACGTCTACGTATATTGACAGGGGTTGCGGTTGGAGCTGGATGGCAGAGCACCGTAGCATGGGTTAACATTGGCTCGTATTATATAGTCGGCATTCCCATTGGTGTTGTGCTTGGATACGTTTTGGATATGCATGTTAAGGTTGAATCTGTGCAAATCTATCATTTACTAATCCGCCATATATTTTGTCTCTCGTCCCAGAATGGACTGAAAATTTTAAATTCTCGTTCTTTCCGCCACCGAACAGTTTATAAGTTCATCTCTCCTAGCATAAAATCTTGTGTCCGTGCATGCCTTGCTTAATATTTAATTTGTTTGTGAAGGGTGTTTGGGTTGGCATGTTACTAGGAACATTGCTTCAAACTGTTGTTCTCATCGTTATCACCTACAAAACCGACTGGGATAGACAGGTAAATCTCCGATGAAAATGTTCCATCTTTTTTATTTTTCATTTAAATATCAAATTTGTAAATTTGCAGGTGGTTTTAGCTCGAACTCGAATCAATAAATGGTTCGTACCTGAATCTAGAGGAGAGAACGACGGCCGTACTGACAATGTGGATGCCTGAGAATCTCCATAATCTCTGTTCTTGGAATTTGTTGCTTTAAATTTTGGTTCTAAATTGCCATCGTCACTGTTACAATTGTGGTGTTGTGATTGGTTTTCGTGGATATGAAAGAATTTGATAAACTCGCCAAACATATAAAATGTGTTGTTTAGTTTGCTTAACTCGATAGGAATATAATTAATATTTTTCAATTTTTTCTAATATGGATTATTAACATTTTTAAATCCTCACTTTTATCCATGTAGTAGACTTAATTTATTATCTTTGTTCATGTCGTATTTTTGCATCAATTTAGCTTTCAAAGTTGTTTAATTGTATCATTCTTTGTTATGTTCCTAACTTAGATCTTAAATTATAAATCTTAAGTTGGGGATTAGAGTTTATGATTTCGAGATTATGAGATTATGGTTTAGGGTTTAGAATTTAGAATTTAAAATTTTAAGTTAAGGGTAGAATATAAAAATGATACAATTGAGCAATTTTAAAAGTTAAATTGATGCGAAAACACGAAGGAGAAAGCGATAAATTGGGTAACTTTTACCTAAATTTATTAATATGAATTATTAAATTATATATTAAAAGATTTTGGAAATGATGTAACTAAAAGAATAATATCACAATTACTTGAATTTAGCATCATTTTAATAAAGCTTTTCTTTAAAGAAGTAGAGATTTTAAATATCAAATAAAAAATAAATAGATTAAGGTTTTATTTAAAAAAATAATAATTATTGTCAATGAAATTTCTTAAATCAACAAACTAAATTAAGAAAGTATTATGTATTTATTTAATTTATTTTAACATTTTTAAATAGTGACATACTTGCAAACCAGTCCCATATTCAGATTAAAAAATAAATGAAATCCGAATGACAACAGCGTGCATCTCTTAAACAAGGCACGACACTGAAATTTGGAGAAAAACAAAAATCTACATACTGTATTTTCTATGTTATTTACAGACTAAACAGTCATTATTTTGTAGATTTCCCTGGTGGTAGGACCAGTTTTGAACCATAAAAAAAGTTATTTCAAGGATCTTGGTGCACCCACTTAAATGTGTGAGACCATGGCCTTTGGTACATAAACATACAGGTCCTGTCCTAGTGTGTACTAAAATGGGAGTTGATGCACCCATGCAACATTTTAGAACATCTGGCTAAACCATGTTAGTCAGCACAGCTAATGGGTTAAGTGATGATGATCCAGTGGTTGGTTGCTGCTGAGCCTGAGACTGAGGCTGTGCCCGCTGATAAGCAAGGCCTCATATGTGGGGGTAAAGGAGGTGGAGGTGGCAGCGTGTTTGCTCCGTAACCATAAGTCATTAACCCTACCATCATACCACTCAACTGCATGCATTGACTTGCTGCTGGAATTGCAGGAGATTGAGGTGGAGGGGAAGTAGGAGGAGCAGAAGGCATGAGAGTTTGAATCTGGTTGCCTTGGGACATTGGTTTCATACCATTCGATGGTGCAAGTGCCACACTATTGATTGGTTGCTTCTGTGGCGTGCCAAAATAAGCCACAATTCCCATGTCCAAATTGCTTGCATCAGACGCAGGGATCAGTTTCTCAAGTTTAAGGCACTTTTCAGGAGGAAACACTGATAATCCCAATGCGGACCCACTATACTTTAAGCTACCATTAAGAGAAGCGGCTTCTTCAGCAACAAGGGACGAAAGTACCGAGGTAAGCATCTGAGAAGAAGATGTTGAAGCAGCAAGCTTAGCAGCAACGGCAGCAGCAGCTGCTTTCTTGATATCTTCTTCAGTTGTTTTCAAAGGCGCAAATGAAATCATAGGTTGCAGAAGCGGAGTGTCAGTTGGCTGAGCTAAAGGAATGTTCTGTTCACACACGGCCACGGCCTCCACTGTTGCGGTAGATATAGCGGTGAGATGGCCAGGGCCAGGGGGTAAAGTTAGTATCTTCCTTAAATTGCTTGATTTCTCAATATAACCACGAGCAACCTGCACAAACACCAATAGTTTCACTTCTGGGAAAAGTAGCAATCTTTTTCAAGTTGTTCTATATCAAAGAAAAGTACAATCAAATAATAGAAGCACAAACCAGTATAATGATAACATGTACCTATAATAAGCAATCACTTCGTACCTGATGCTCAAGTCAAGTCCGAATAACCAATTGATTTTGGATCAAATGTCTATAAATCTGCAAATAGCAGCAGAATACGTCTACCAAAAGATACACAGAATATCATAACGTGATTGATTTGGTTCATGAGAGGAAGCATACAAGAGTGATAAAACTTCCCTATTTGAAATTTCTACCCTAAATTACGCCTAATGTTCCGATTCCCTACCTATAAATGTAGCCCCGTGATGGAAATAACGTCTCTACACGTGATATGAAACCTAAGTGATGATAGATCTCACATTATCTAGGATGTTCTATTCAAGAGGGCATTTCTATCCATTGACTTGGTTATTTTTAAGGAAAAACACCTCGACACAAACTCCATGAATTTCTAGGAAGTTTTATTCCCAAATTACTATGAAAATGTTTCTCAATTGTGACTGGGGCACAAGTCAATCTAAGGAGGGATTTAAACGGACAATCTGCAAATTTATTAAATGTATTAGCCGGAAAATATCAATCAAGAAATTCATTACTTGCAGCTGACTGCGAATAAGCTTCAGCTTTGATTCCGGGAAAACTTTAAACTAATGTGTTCAACCAGGACAAACTATTCCAAATGGTAATTGACTACTGAACACAAGACGGCAATGAAACCATACTTGTTCATGAAGTGCTTCTTTGAGTAAAAACCAAGGCTTCCCCCGTTATTTCAATATTTTCAAGTTCAGTGCCTTACTGGACTGCGTTTTCTTGCTGCTCTAGCTCAGGCTGCAATGCAGGTCCATTCTGATTCCCTAACCAAAATCAAATGCACATGCTTAGAATTGTTACATGCACATAGACGATCAAAACTACAAGAAACATATTTTAATGAAATAGAAGTCTAGTTACCCTGGGGTTTACAATCTCAACCGAGAGACCCCCCATTAAATTATTTTGAAAACATAACCTTTATGACAAAATTCATAAGCAAGAAAAGGTTCAAATATATGTTCTCTTTCATCTCTTTTTAATGGAAGAATTAATTGATTAGATGGGAGAACTAACTAGATCATGAGCATTTAATATAATACAACATATAAGATCTATCTAGATCAGGCATTTAATATACCACAGACATTTAAGACACCAATTAGGATTGTGTTTGGAACTTGGAATTCAAAGATAGAATAACTGGTGAAATAAAACACATGTAAATGTAACATTCAGGATTTTTTTTCAAATTCATGGATGTGTTAAGACTTATCTAATGATGAATTTGGGATATATATTTGTCAACTGAAATTCACGTTCTTATAATTTTCAAATGCATAACTACACTGAATCATAAACTAGTTGTACATAATTTCTGCATTTCATGTCCATAATCTATATAGGTACTGAAATTCAAATTCAAATTCAAATTCAAATTCAAATTCAAATTCAAATCCAAATCCAAATCCAAATCCAATTCCAAATCCAAATCCAAATCCAAATTTCAAATTCATGTTTCTAAGCATAGCATCGAGGACACCACAAATAAATGCTCTCTATTAATCAGAAATGCACCAAAATGTCAAAAGAACAATTGTTAATTACCAAATTTCATTCAACCCTTCATTGCAGATTCAATGTGTTAAAATCTTATGCCAGTAAATATTTGCAAAACTTTATTCATATTTTAGAGGACACGTGTGTGTGCGTGAAAGCATTCAATGGATTGTTTTGGATCAATCAGAGAGTATTATACATTATATTTGGATAGTAATGAAACCATAAATAACCACCGTGTGCACATCGAAATCAAAGGTCAATAACCTTACAAAGGCAATTGCATGACTCTTGAAAGAGCTTATCTCAACTGCATAAGATCAATTCTAATGATGTTCCGTTCTAAAATCCATCAGGGTAAATGCAAGCACTAAGCGCAATAAAATCCCACAAATGATAAAGTACAATCACGGCGCATGCTTTTTTCAACAAAGGGCATCGAATTTTTTAATTAAAATATTTTTGGGTTAATTAAATTTTAGCCACTGCACATTTTAGAGTATTTACAAGATTAGTCATTAAGCTTCAACTATAAATACCCTAGCTCATTTAGCTTCAAAATCATCCCAAATCATTTCTTTCTCCCAATACTATAGAGTTTCTTGTGAGTAGTAAGTGTTTTGTAAACACCTGTAAATTTTCTCTCTTAGTTAAAGATCTGCAACAGTCCGGAGACGTAAGCACAATTGGCTGAACTCCGTTATCAATTTCAGGTATTATTTTTCCGCTTTTATTTCGTATTCTCACTAATCTGGTTATAGGAAAATTACTAGTACTCGGCTATTTCCTAACAACTGGTAATTAGAGCTTTTGGTTGTGAATTTTGTCAATTTTTTACGAGGTTACTATTCATTACTATTCACGGGAATAATGAATTTCGTGAATAGTAAAAATTTTGTCGTCGATACGAATTTGTCGACGGAGGTGTTCTAATACACGGTGGTTCGCAAGAATTCTCAGAAACGATCCAAACGAAGCTAGATCCGAGTGGGAGCGATGGCTGCAGACGAAGGGAAGGTGAAAATCGAAAAGTTCGATGGTGGGGACTTTGGCTTTTGGAAGATGCATATTGAAGATTTTTTGTACCAGAAAAATCTATATCAACCTCTCTCAAGAAAGCAACCAGAGGGCATGAAGAATGAAGACTGGGCTCTTCTCGACAGACAAGCCCTTAGAGTCATCCGACTGACGTTGTCCCGAAATGTTACTTTCAACATAGCAAAGGAAAAGACCATGGCGGGTCTTATGGCATCTCTCTCCAGTATGTATGAGAAGCCATCGACCTCGATCAAAGTTCACTTGATGAGGCGATTATTCAATTTACAGATGGCGGAAGGGGCATTAGTGGCTCAACACCTAAATGAACTCAACACAATCACAACCCAGTTGAGTTACGTGGAAATTGAATTCGATGATGAAGTTCGAGCTTTAATTCTCTTATCATCTCTACCAGACAGTTGGAATGCTACTGTTACAGCAGTTAGCAGCTCGTCGAGAAATAGTAAATTGAAATTCGACGATGTTCAGGATCTGGTACTGAGTGAAGAAATTCGACGGAGAGAATCGGGTGAAGCATCAACCTCCTCAGCCTTGCACACGAAGTCCAGAGGGAGAACTTCAAAAAAAAATTCAAATATTGGCAGATCCAAATCCAAAAGGGGAAAATCAAGAACGGGAAAGAAAGATTTTACCTGTTATAACTGCGGCAAGAAGGGTCACTTTAAAAGAGATTGCCGAGCATCGAAGAAAAATACCGGCGCACAAGAATCTGCCAACCTGACAGAGGAGATAGGTGATGCCATGATTCTAAGGCTCAACAGTCCGATTGAATCATGGATCTTGGATTCAGTGGCATCTTTCCACTCCACCCCATGTCAAGAAATCATGGAGAACAATGTCAGTGGTGATTTTGGGAAGGTTCATCTAGCTTATGATGAAACATTGAAGATCGTTGGAAAAGGAGACATCCGACTAAAGTTGCCAAACCATACCACCTGAAAGCTGAAAGGTGTGAGACATATTCTAGGTCTCAAAAGAAATTTGATTTCTGTTGGACAACTTGATGGAGAAGGATATAGTACAACATTCTCAGGCTGTGAATGGAAGATTACCAAAAGAGCACTCATCATTGCTCGTGGTAAGAAGACTGGTACTCTCTATGTAACCTCAAACTTAGAGAATATCATTGCTGCAGCAGATGCTGATAGAAAATCAAAACTATGGCACCAAAGGCTTGGCCATATGAGTGGGAAAGGGATGAAGACACTTTTATCAAAAGGGAAGCTACGGAATCTAAAGAATGTAGATGTCGGACTATGTGAGGATTGCATCTTTGGAAAACAAAAGAAAATCATTTTTGCAAAGATTGGCAAGACACCCAAGGCAGAAAAGTTAGAGTTGGTTCATACTGATATATGGGGACCATCTCTAGTTCCATCTCTTGCAGGCTCACTATATTATGTCACCTTCATCGATGATTCTACAAGAAAGGTGTGGGTTTATTTTCTGAAGAAGAAATCAGAAGTCATTGATACCTTCAGAAAATGGAAGGCCATGGTGGAAAATGAGACTGGTTTGAAAGTCAAGCGGTTGAGGTCTGATAATGGAGAAGAATACAAAAATAGTAGATTCAGAGATTTATGCGCAAATAATGGGATCAAGATGGAGACAACAATTCCCATGACACTGCAGTAGAATGGCGTAGCAGAGTGCATGAACAGAACTTTAAATGAACGTGCAAGAAGCATAAGGATACATGCCGGATTGTCCAAATTGTTATGGCCTAAAGCCATCAACACTGCAGCTTACCTGATCAACCGTGGGCCCTCAGTTCCCTTGGATGGTGGAATACCAGAGGAAGTTTGGAGCAAGAAAGAAATAAACCTTTCACACTTAAGAGTGTTTGGTTGTATTTCTTATGTACACATAGATTCTGCTGAAAGAAGTAAACTTGATACTAAGTCCAACAAATGTGTCTTTGTTGGTTATGGTGGTGATGAGTTCCATTATCGATTTTGGGATTACGAAAATTGAAAGATCATCAGAAGCAGAGATGTCATTTTTAATGAAAATGTGATGTACAAAGACAGGGCAACCATAGAAACAAGTAGCTCCAAAACGAAGCTGAAAAAAAGGAATTTGCTGAGTTCGAGGAGATTTCTGGAAATGATGTTCAAATCAGTCCTGAAGCAGTTCAAGAAGAACCAGGAACACTAGAACTAAGACGCTCCTCCAGAATTCCTAAACCAACCCAGCGTTATTCGCCTTCTTTGCACTACTTGTTGCTGACTGACAATGGTGAACCAGAGTGCTATGATGAAGCAATGCAGGTAGAGGATTCAGTCAAGTGGGATTCTTCTATTAAAGATGAGATGGACTCACTTATGTCAAATCAGACGTGGGAATTAGCTGAATTACCACCAGGCAAGAGGGCGCTCCATAACAAGTGGATTTATAGGATCAAAGAAGAGCACGATGGTAGCAAACGCTACAAAGCAAGATTGGTTGTCAAAGGTTTTCAGCACAAAAAAGGTATTGACTACAATGAAATTTTCTCTCCAGTCGTAAAATTGTCTATAATCAGACTGGTGTTGAAAATTGTAGATGCAGAGAATCTACATCTTGAGCAGTTAGATGTGAAGACAACTTTCCTTCATGGTGATTTGGAGGAAGAAATCTATATGAGGCAGCCAGAAGGCTTCATAGAGGCAGGCAAGAAAAACCTGGTATACAGGTTGAAGAAGAGCTTGTATGGTTTAAAACAAGCTCCTAGACAGTGGTACAAGAAGTTTGATAACTTCATGGGTAGCAGTGGTTTTACCAGATGTCAAGCAGATTATTGTTGCTACATCAAGAAGTTTGACAACAACTTCATTATTTTATTGTTGTATGTTGATGACATGCTTGTTGTAGGTTCAGACATGCAAGAGATTATAAACTTGAAGCAAAAATTGTCGAAAGCAGTTTGCAATTAAAGATCTGGGCACTGCAAAGCAGATTCTAGGGATGTGGATCAAGAGAGACACAAAGTCGGGGACTTTGATGTTATCACAGGCTGAGTACATCAACAAAGTATTCTCTAGGTTCAACATGCAAGATGCTAAACCAGTAAGTACACCTTTAGGTGTTCATTTTAGACTCTCCAAAGAACAGTCACCAAAGACGGAGGAAGAACATGCACACATGGTGAAGGTGCCGTATGCCTCAGCAATTGGAAGTCTGATGTATGCCATGGTTTGTACCAGACCAGATATTGCTCATG